TGGGATTACAGGCATGCACCACCACACCCGGCTAATTTTTGTATTTTTAGTAGAGACAGGGTTTCACCGTGTTGGCCAGGCTCGTCTCAAACTCCTGACCTCAGGTGGTCCACCCACCTCGAGCTCCCAAAGTACTGGGATTACAGGCATGAGCCATGGCACCCAGACACATTTGCATGTTTAAGTAACTAATGTGTCTCCTCCATTAGACCTTGTGCTTGCTCCCAAAGGCAGGGTCTGCAGCCACTTTTTCCCCATAGTGGCTACAGTATCTAGATTAGTGCAAGCAAATGTCTGTTGAAGCAATCAGTGGTTTGGGGGCAAGTTACTTAACCTCCCCATGCCTCAGTTTCCCCATTTGTAAAACAAAAAAATAAAGGAGATAACAGTGTATCTACTTGACATGTGGGGTGCAGCAGCATGCTGGAGTTGGCTTGCTAGAGCCAGTGGCCAAATTTTCAGGCAATCCGTGAGCCATTTGTTAGACCTAGATATTCATAAAAACGACATAAACCTACAGTTAAACAAATGACATTAAAAACCGAAGTTTTTAAATTAACAAAAGTTTTTAAAAGTAGCAAAGACTCAAAACTCACCACCTCCTAATAGCATACGATGTTTTCCTATTATCTGTGCTGTTGAGGTTATTTACTACTTTTGTGTCAGTAGTAGATACATTTTGTATATACTTATAAATACTATTTAGAGGAATGCTACTATGTATCGCTTGCCAGCTGTATGTTTAGTAACTTCATGTGGGTGGCCTGAAATCCACCACTGGTAGGAATATTTACACCATGGAAATTGGCAAATGCTATATAGATCTGGGCCCTCCTGTCCCCCTCCCTCAGGCAGTTGTTAAACATTGACAAGCACACCAATGGTTTGGAGGCTTAAACCAGTTAATAGATGTGTCTGGCATGTGGGTAATGATGTGGAAATGCCGCTTTTATTGTTAGTATTTGGTTGGCTCTCACTGTCTGATCCAGAATTGCTGCATATGCAGACAGGAATTGGACAAAGCCATTGACCAACTGTTTTATTTATTCATTTATTTTCTTCCCTCTCTCTCTCCAGTTTGCCCAACCATCTGTAAGTCACACGGCTGCACTGCCGAAGGCCTCTGTTGCCACAGCGAGTGCCTGGGCAACTGTTCTGAGCCCGACGACCCCACCAAGTGCGTGGCCTGCCGCAACTTCTACCTGGACGGCAGGTGTGTGGAGACCTGCCCGCCCCCGTACTACCACTTCCAGGACTGGCGCTGTGTGAACTTCAGCTTCTGCCAGGACCTGCACCACAAATGCAAGAACTCGCGGAGGCAGGGCTGCCACCAGTACGTCATTCATAACAACAAGTGCATCCCTGAGTGTCCCTCCGGGTACACGATGAATTCCAGCAAGTGAGTTCTGGATGTGGGTCCGGGGGGCGGCCGAGAGGAAAAGGAACGTGGGGTTGGTTGTGATGATGCCTCCTGTTAAAACTGTGTGCAAACCCAGGGTTAATTGGCTATGAGTGAGGTCTCTGCTCTCAGATGCTACTTTTGCACCCTGTTTTGGTCCTGGGCTTGGGAGCAGGAGTTGCCTACCTTTTTCTCTAAAGGGCCAGATAGTATATACTTCTGGCATTGTGCCCACCATTCTTTCTTTTTTTTTTTTTGAGATGGAGTCTTGTTCTGTCACCCAAGCCGGAGTGCAGTGGCACGAACCTGGCTCACTGCAACCTCTGCCTCCTGGGTTCAAGTGATTGTCCTGCCTCAGCCTCCCAAGCAGCTGGGACTGCAGGTGTCTGCCATCATGCCTGGCTAATTTTTTTTTTTTTTTTGAGATGGAGTCTTGCTCTGTCACCCAGGTTGGAGTGCAGTGGTGCAATCTCGGCTCACTGCAAGCTCCACCTCCCGGGTTCACGCCATTCTCCTGCCTTAGCCTCGCACGTAGCTGGGACTACGGGTGCCCGTCACCACGCCAGGCTAATTTTTTTGTATTTTTAGTAGAGATGGGGTTTCACCATGTTAACCAGGATGGTCTCGATCTCCTGACCTCGTGATGCTCCTGTCTCGACCTCCCAAAGTGCTGGGGTTACAGACGTGAGCTACCGCGCCTGGTCAATTTTTGTATTTTTAATAGAGACAGCATTTTGCCATGTTGGTCAGGCTGGTCTCAAACTCCCAACCTCAAGTGGTCCACCTGCCTCGGTCTCTCAAAGTGCTGGGATTGCAGGTGTGAGCCACCGCGCCGTCTGGCATTGTGGACCCCAGTTCTAAGCTTTCTGTGCTTGACTTCAGAACGAGAAAACATAATAAGGACCGAGTCCTTGAATTTCCCTAAAATCCTCCACGTGGCCTGTCCTCACTGATGTAGCTTCATCATTGTCACATCAAGGATATACCAAGGTCTTTTGTGTCTTCCCTGGCCTGTAGCCTGGTGGTGTGCCAAGATTAGCCCAGAACATACTGTCTCCAGGAGGAAGAGACTCACTTCTGCATTATTCTCAGGGCTTTGCTGTTCTCTGAAGGACAGTATAATCAAACCATTTCCTGCCGTTTGGGTGAGAAATAGCAGGGTTTTCTCTCTTCGGCAGTGAGTCAGATTTCCTACGCACATCACAGACTTTCTGTTCACGCTGTTAGCTTCTTCCATGAGCTATTTTGGGGGCCGTAACTGAGTTGCAAAAATCTGTTTCCTGGTTTTTGTATTGAGGTTTTATGTTTTGTTTTAAAAACACACACACGCACACACCACAAAACAACACAAAAACAAATCAGAAACAGACACATATCAAGAGGCCTTGAGCTGACCTGCTTACGTCAAGTATCTTCCTCTTCAGACTTGAGAATTAGCCAAGCGAGAGTGTTGTGGTGGGAAATTTTATTTCCCTGGGTGGAGAGGGCGGGAAGGAAAACAAGCTGTAATTTCAGTTCTGACGACTCTTTCTTTGAGTGTTTGTGAAACCTGCAAGTACAATATGTTTTGTTTTACTTGTTGTTGATAAAAACCTACCAACAAAACCTTTTGGCTTTATTGACCAAAAGGGTCTATAAATCACCTTTGCATACCAGACAGAGTTTTTTTTTTTTTTTTTGGCCAGTGTATTCCCAAGATTGAGGAAATTACCATATTCCTTTTGATTCTTTTCTAAAATCGCATTTGAAATAAAAAAAAAAAATGGGTTAATATCTCCTGGCAAGACGTTTGTTTAAAAGACATTGGCCTTAAATAAAAGGCATTTTTGCCTCACCTTAACTACGGCCTGAGACATATAGCAGCCTCCTTTGATTTTCTCACTGATGATGTAGGAGATGCTGAAACAAAAACTCTGAGAAACTGACGGCACATCTTTGGCACCGGAGACCTTTCCTGAATGGAAGAAAACAAAGGAGAGGATGGTGCATTGTCGCAGTATTTTATTGCATAGGTTTAAAAAAATTAATATTTTTATTTCTGAAGCTTTTAATTAATTAATTTATTTATTTATTTTGAGACAGAGCCTCACTCTGTCACCCAGGCTGGAGTGCAGTGGCATGATCTCGGCTCACTGCAACCTCTGCCTCCCGGGTTCCAGCAGTTCTCCTGCCTCAGCCTCCCAAGTAGCTGGGATTACAGGTGTGAGCCAACAAGCCCGGCCAATGTCTTTTGTTAGTGCTTTTGTTTTTTTGAGATGGAGTTTCATTCTTGTTGCCCAGACTGGAGTGCAATGGTGCGATCTCGGCTCACTGCAACTTCAGCCTCTCGGGTTCAAGTGATTCTCCTCCCTCAGCCTCTGAGTAGCTGGGATTACAGACATCTGTCACCATGCCCTGTTAAATTTTTTCTTGTGTTTTTAGTAGAGACGGGGTTTCACCATGTCGGCCAGGCTGGTCTCGAACCCCTGACCTCAAGTGATCCACCCACTTCGGCCTCCCAAAGTTCTGGGATTACAGGTGTGAGCCACCTTACCTGGCCTGAAGCTTTTCTTTTTATCTTATGAAAGACTTTATAGGACTGTGGCATTTTCAAATGTGGTTTGTTATCAAATAGGGCCAGATGTTTTCTTCCATTCTGGTGGCTTATCTGGGAAAGAGTTCTTGATGTTTTCAGAGCAGAGTTCTGGGAACTCATGTGGATTTGTTAAAAGGTCTTGGCCAGGCGCAGTGGCTCATGCCTGTAATCCCAGCACTTTGGGAGGCCGAAGTGGATGGATCACCTGAGGGCAGGAGTTTGAGATCAGCCTGGCCACCATGGTGAAACCCCATCTTTACTTAAAATACAAAAAAAATTAGCCGGGCATGGTGGTGCATACCTGTTATTCCAGCTCCTTGGGAGGCTGAGGCATGAGAATTGCTTGAACCCAGGAGGCGGAGGTTGCAGTGAGTTGAGATCACGCCCTTGCACTTCAGCCTGGGTGACAAGAGTGAAACTGCATCTCCAAAAAAAAAAAAGGGCTCACCGTCTACTGTCATTTCAAAGTACCTGCTGGGATGTAGTAGCACAGTGCTGCTTCCTGAGATGAGGAGGATCAGATATTTGTGATGGATAAATTTTCAATGAGTACGGGACATCCATTGGGAAGGGGAGAATGACCTAAAACCCTTGACTCTTCTTGGCCTCTCTCACTTCTTCCTGTTAAGCTGAGGTCTCAAATTCGTCTACAACTCCATCTACTTCACCATCATGTCTGACCCAGTCCCCTTGAACAATCTCTTTGCTCCTGCTTCCATTCTAGTGACACTGGTTAAAAGTGGCCACCTGGGCCAGGGGTGGTGGCTTACGCCTGTAACCCCAGCACTTTGGGAGGCCGAGGTGGGTGGATCACCTGAGGTCAGGAGTTCGAGACCAGCCTGACCAACATGGTGAAACCCTGTCTCTACTGAAAATACAAAAATTAGCCAGGCGGTTGGCTGGGTGCGGTGGCTCAAGCCTGTAATCCCAGCACTTTGGGAGGCCAAGACGGGCGGATCTCGAGGTCAGGAGATCGAGACCATCCTGGCTAACACCGTGAAACCACGGTGAGCTGAGATCCGGCCACTGCACTCCAGTCTGGGCGACAGAGCAAGACTCCGTCTCAAAAAAAAAAAAAAAAAAATTAGCCAGGCACGGTGGCAGGCGCCTGTCATCCCAGCTACTCGGGAGGCTGAGACAGGAGAATTGCTTGAACCTGGGAGATGGAGGTTGCAGTGAGCCGAGATTGTGCCACTGCACTCCAGTCTCGGTGACAGAACGAGACTGTCTCGAAAGAAAAAATAAAAGTGACCATCTGATCATATGCCATGTCCTTCCCTAAAACCCCCCAGTGGCTCCCCAAGACCAGTGGACAGAATCCAAACTCTTTATCGAGAAGACTCTGCCAGTTCTTATTCTAATTTCATTCCGGTGCCTCTTGGCCATGGCTGTAACCACAGGAGTTTTCCTCCAGCTTGCTACATCTGCTTTCCTCTGTGCCTTTGCATTAGCTGTTCCCTCTTCCTAAAATGCTTGTCCCTTAATTTGAGAATGACCCACTTTTTGTCCTGGTCGTCTCCTTGGCAAATCCTTCCTGTATGAATCAATCATCCATGCACTACTCTCTGTCACATCATTTAGTTTTAACTCTTTGATTTGTCGCTAGCTGATATTTTTATTGTCAGTTTTTTTTTTTTTTTCTTGAGACAAGGTCTTGCTCCATCACCCAGGCAAGAGTGCAGTGGCACCCACATGGCTCACTGTGGTCTCAACCCCCTGGGCTCAAGAGATCCTCCTGCCACTGCCTCCTGAGTAGCTGGGACTATAGGCACATACCACCACACCTGGCTAAAAAAAAATTTTGTAGTGATAGGGGTCTTGCTATATTCCCCACACTCGTCTTGAACTCCTGGGCTTAAGCGAGCCTCCCACCTTGGCTTCCCAAAGTGCTGCAATTACAGGACCTGAGCCACTGCACCTAACCTTTGTTGTCAATTTATTTACTCTCCCCAACCAGCTTATAAGCTTTGGGAGTGTATCAGCTAGCCCTTGCTGTGTAACAAAACCACCTCAGTGCTTAGCGGCTTAAAACACTCCTTTAGGAGCTCTGATGATTTTGTGTGTTGACTGAAGGTTTGTCTGGCCTGGGCCTGTTTAGCTATGGCTGATGGTTTAGGAGGATGGTTTAGGAGAGCCTCTTGGGTCTTAGATGGTCAGCGGGGGGCTCTCTCCATAAGCCTCTCACTCCAGCAGCCAGGAAGGACAGACCTCAGCGTTCAAGTGCTTTTCAAGCCTCAGCTTGTATCACGTTTGCAAATATCCCATTGACCAAAGCAAGCCATATGGCCAAGCCCAGATTCAACAGGTGGGAACATAGACTCCACTTCTTGGTGGGAGAGGCTGCAAAGAACTCGTGGTCATTTATAATTTCCCACTGGGAAAACATATTATTGGCTTTGTTCACTCATGTATACTGGCAGCTGAGAACAGGGGTTGGCCAAGGGCCAGATAGTAAATATTTTCAGCGCTCAGGGCCATATGGTCTCTGTTGGAGTGACTTAACTCTGCCTTTGCAGTGTGAAAGCGGGGTTAGACGATATACTAACCAATAAATGTGGCCATATTCCAATAGGATATTATTTGCAAAAACAGGTGGCCAACTGGATTTGGCTCCCAAGCCACTGTTTGCCAACTCCAGGCTTAGAGCATTGCCTGCCACATAATAAGAATAGAGGCAATAAAAGAAGTCAAACATTCGACACTGTTTTGTTTCCGCCTCAGCTGTTCTGCCACTACCTGGGTGTACTGCAACACTGTTCTGACACCATCCTCCTCCAAAGTTAGCATCAGACTCCACAAGTTTAAGGCTCAGCCTTTCATGAGATTTCCCTTACTTCAGACACTGGCAGCATCTTAGGGATCCCCCAGCCACCCACACTTCTGACTAACTGGCTCTAAACTGGGGGAGTCCCACAAACTCTTTGGGTTTGATAATTTACCAGAAGGAACTCACAGAACTAAAATAAACCTGGCCAGGTGTGGTGGCTCATGCCTGTAATCCCAGCACTTTGGGAGGCTAAGGTTGGAGGCTCACTTGAGCTCAGAGGTTTGAGACCAGCCTGGACAACATAGCAAGACCCCATCTCTACAAAAATTTAAAAACATTAGCCAGGTGTGGGGGTGTATGCCTGTAGTCCCAGCTACTTGGGGGGCTTAAGCAGGAGGATTGCTTGAGCCCAGGAGTTCGAGGCTGCAGTGAGCTGAGATTGTGCCAGTGCACTCCAGCCTGGGTGGCAGAGCAAGATCTTGTCTCAAATTTAAAAACCCTGCTATACAGTTATAGTTTTATTATAAAGCATACACATAGGGCAAGATCTGGGAGAGTTCTAGACACAGAATTTCCATATTCCCTCCCTGTGGCAATAGCCTATATCACCCTCTTGACATACTGACATGTCCACCAACTGGGAAGTACTACTAAGCTTCAGTGTCCAGAGTTTTTGTTTGTTTGTTTGTTTTGAGATGGAGTCTCACTCTGTCACCCAGGCTGGAGTGCAGTGGCACAATCTCAGCTCACTGCAATCTCCACATCCCAGGTTCAAGCGATTCTCCTGCCTCAGCCTCCCAAGTAGCTGGGACTACAGGCGTGCACAAACCATGCACGGCTAATTTTTGTATTTTTAGTAGAGACGGGGTTTCACCATGTTGGCCAGGCTGGTCTCGAACTCCTGACCTCATGATTCACCTGCCTCAGCCTCCCAAAGAGCTAGGATTACAGGCATGAGGCACTGCACCCGGCCCAGTGTCCAGAGTTTTAATTGGAGTCTCCTTCCTTCTGTGTGATCGATGGAAATCATTGGCCATGTGATTAAACACTGCCATTTCCAGTCCCCTCCTCTCCCTGGAGGTCAGGTGACTAAAAGCCCCAACCCTGTGATCACAAGGTTGGTCTTTCTGGTGACCGCCCCCCACCCTAATGTTATCTAGGCCCCCACCGCAAGTCACCCCCAGCATTCCTAACCCTCCTAACAAAAGCATTCCTATGACTCAGAAAATTCCAAGGGTTTTTGAAGCTCTATGCCAAGAACTGGGATGAAGACCAGATGCATTCTTTATGATACTACAGTCACAAAAATCATTCTGAAGAGTTGAATACACAGGGGTGTGAGAACAACGGCAGCAGCAACAACGATGCCACCGATAACAAATGACTCTTGTAGCAATGGATAAAATTATGTTCTGTGTGCGAAGTGCTTTTGTGGTATGCATCACTGAGTTCCTCATCACAAGCTGTGGCATTCGTGTTGTTATTTTCAGATGAACACACGGAGACTGTAACAGTTGGGAATCTTGTGGTTTCATGCACCAGAACCCCAACTCAAATTGGCTTAACCAGCCTGGCACAATGGCTCATACCTGTAATCCCAGCCCTTTGGGAGGCCGAGGTGGGCGGATCACCTGAGGTCGGGAGTTCGAGACCAGCCTGACCAACATGGAGAAACCCCGTCTCTACTAAAAAAAATTAAAAAATAAAAAATTAGACGGGCATGGTGGTGCAGGCCTGTAATCCCAGTTACTCAGGAGGCCGAGGCAGGAGAATCGTTTGAACCTGGGAGGCGGAGGTTGCAGTGAGCCGAGGTTGTACCATTGCACTCCAGCCTGAGCAACAAGAGCAAGACTCCATCAAAAAACAAAAAACAAAAATCGAAAACCTTGATTTAACCAAGATTAAAGGAGTTTGTTGGTGCCCATAACCAAAAAGTTCAGGGAGTTGCTTCAGGCATGGCTGTATCAAGAAGCTTAAGTGATGTACCTGATCAGTCTCTTCCATCTTTATTTTGCTCTTTGTTGGTTTTCTTTTCAGGCAGCTTCTCCCTCACCCTTCACCCTGTGCTAGCAAGATGGCAAAACCCTTAGATACTCCAGAAGAAAAACAATTTCCCCTTCCTGCATGTTCTAGCAAAACCCTCACTGCACTGACTTAAGTCCTGTACCCACCTCTGAGCCGCCACAGGAATAGAAGGTGGTGCTTAGCTTGTCTTGGATCTTGTGTCCATCCTGGATCTAGAAAGGCTTTGGAAGCCAAGAGCTGATCTCAGAGACCCCGTGTTGGGGGAGGACTGGCTCCCAAAGGACTCCTAGGGGCTGTGAGTTTGATGGCATCAGGCTGCAGGTTGGCAAAACCAAAGGCTGCCCAAGTCGTTTGCTGTTAAACATGGAGTCATGTTACAGCCATACTTGCATCAAATCCCACACAGAACAGCAAATGTTCTGTCTCCTTGGAGTAGCAAGTTGAGTTCTGCCACGTTGGGGTACGGTGTCAGTTCTGCCATATCAGGCCCATGAGCTCAAGGTAATGAATGGCACATTCTCATCACCACGTGCATTCGTCCATTTCTGCACTGCTATAAATAAATACCTGGAGCCAGGCGTCGTGGCTCACGCCTGTAATCCCAGCACTTTGGGAGGCCGAGGCGGGTGGATCATCTGAGGTTGGGAGTTCAAGATGAGCCTGACCAACATGGAGAAACCCCATCTCTCCTAAAAATACAAAATTAGCTGGGTGCAGTGGCTCACACCTGTAATCCCAGCACTTTGGGAGGCCGAGGTAGGCGGATCACCTGAGGTCAGGAGTTCAAGACGAGCCTGACCAACATGGAGAAACCCCGTCTCTACTAAAAATACAAAATTAGCTGGGCGTGGTGGTGCATGCCTGTAATCCCAGCTACTTGGGAGGCTGAGGCAGGAGAATCGCTTGAACCCAGGAGGTGTAGGTTACGGTGAGCTGAGATGGCGCCATTGCACTCCAGCCTGGGCAACAAGAGCAAAACTCAGTCTCATAGGAAAAAAGAAAAAAAAAAAAAGAGAAATACCTGGAACTGGGTAATTTATAAAGAAAAGAGATTTAATTGGCTCATGGCCCTGCAGGCTGTACAGGAAGCATAGCGGCTTCTGCATCTGGGGAGGCCTCAAGAAACTTACAATCATGGGGGAAAGTGAAGGGGAGGCAGGCACATCTTACACGACTGGAGGAAGAGAGAAAGGGGGAAGGTACTACAACTTTTTTATTTTTTTGAGACAGAGTCTTACTCTGTCACCCAGACTGGAGTGCAGAGGCACGATCTTGGCTCACTGCAGCCACTGCCTCTCGGGTTCAAGTGATTCTCCTGCCTCAGCCTCCCCAGTAGTTGGGATTACAGGTGGGCACCACTACACCTGGCTAATTTTTGTATTTTTAGTAGAAACAGAGTTTCACCATGTTGGCCAGGCTCCCACAGTGCTGGGATTACAGGCGTGAGCCACTGCGCCTGGCCTGGAGGACATTTTTAATTGCCACAACTTATGGGAGGGATGCTACTGGCATCTCGTGAGTGGAGCCTAGGGATGCTGCCTAATATCGTCCAATGCACAGGATGCCACCCTCACCACCGCAGTGGAGAGTTACTTGGCCCCAGATGTGAACAATGCTGAGGTCAGAAGACCTTGCCGTAGCATGATGGACTCGTGCCATCACTTGAGACCCTGCATGGTATGCTGTCTTCCCAGGCTGATCTCGAACTCCCAGGCTCAAGCAACACTCCCTCCTTGGCCTCTCAAAGTGCAGAGATGACAGGGGGGAGCCACCACGCCCGGCTCCAGAATCTACAATTTTAACAATCAAGCAATATGCCCTATGGTAGATCGGCAGACTGTGTTTTCAGAAATATCATCTCAGGCAGAAAGGGCCAGGTGCAGTGGCTCACACGTGTAATCCCAGCACTTTGGGAGGCTGAGGCGAGTGGATCACTTGAGGTCAGGAGTTCGAGACCAGCCTGGTCAACATGGTGAAACCCCGTCTCTACTCAAAAATAAGAAAATTAGCTGGGCGTGGTCATGGGCACCTGTAATCCCAGCTACTGTGGAGACTGAGGCAGGAGAATCTCTTGAACCCAGGAGGCAGAGGTTGCAGTGAGCTGAGATCGCACCACTGCACTCCAGCCTGGGCAACAGAGCAAGACTCTGTCTCACGCACATACAAAGAAATAGCATATCAGGCAGAAAGATGCCGGAGATATCTGAGGGACTTTGAACACCCTTATTCCTCTCTCTCTCTGCTCTGCCTTAGCTTGCTGTGCACCCCGTGCCTGGGTCCCTGTCCCAAGGTATGCCACCTCCTAGAAGGCGAGAAGACCATCGACTCGGTGACGTCTGCCCAGGAGCTCCGAGGATGCACCGTCATCAACGGGAGTCTGATCATCAACATTCGAGGAGGCAGTGAGTGCCCTCTCTGTGGGGACATTGGGGCTGCCTGCTGGGCTCCATGTCCATTTTCTTCCCCGCTCACAGCTCAGAGAAACATGGAGAAACCCCGTCTCTACTAAAAATACAAAACAATTCGCCAGGTGTGGTGGCACACGCCTGTAATCCCAGCTACACAGGAGGCTGAGGCAGGAGAATTGCTTGAACTCAGCAAGTGGAGGTTGCAATGAGCTGAGATCGCGCCACTGCACTCCAGCCTGGGCGACAGAGTGAGACTCCATCTCAAAAAAAAAAAAAAAAAAAAAAAGGCCCGGGGGGGTTGGTTCCTGCTTTTATTCCCGCACTTTGGGAGGCTGCGGTGGGCATATCACTTGAGGTCAGGAGTTTGAGACCAGCCAACATGGTGAAACCCTGTCTCTGCTAAAAATACAAAACTTAGTTGGGCATGGTGGCACATGCCTGTAGTCCTAGCTACTCCGGAGGCTGAGGCAGGAGAGTCACTTGAACCTGGGAGGCAGAGGTTGCAGTGAGCTGAGATCGCACCACTGCGCTCCAGCCTGGGCCATAGACCGAGACTCCATTTCAAAAGAAAAGAAAAGGAAAGAAAATAAATACCATGTCAGGCAAAAAGGCATTCCTTTGCTTATTTCTTTAGCAAACATGTATTGAATACTCACAGTGAGTAAGGTAAAGTCCTTACTCTGCTGGATTTTTGCACATAAGTAAATCAACAGATATTGTAAGTTCAGGTAGTGGCCTGTGCTGTGAAGGGAAGTGCAGCAGGGTAATAGGTGGAATGGAAATGGGCAGCTTTTCCCTATAAAGGGCTCTGTCATGAATATATTCAGCCCTGCAGGCCGGGCAATGTCTATCATAACCACTCAGCTCTGCTGTTATAACATGAAAACAGCCATAGACCCATGTCAGCTAGTGGGCATGGCTTTGTTCCAATAAAACTTTATTTTACAAAACAGGTGGAATTTGGCCAGTGGGCTGTCATTGGTCAACCTCTGAAATAGAGACTAAAAGGGGTTGCTATTTTTTTTTTGTAGTTTTAGTAGAGACAGGGTTTCACCATGTTGCCCAGGCTGGTCTTGAACTCCTGACCTCAAGTGATCCACCTGCCTCACCCTCCCAAGGTGCTGGGATTACAGGCATGAGCCACCAGCACCTAGCCTGGGGTTGCTATTTTAGAGAAGTCTCTGGTGTGGGAAAGGAGGGTTTGAGATGATGATGGAACAAGCCAAGCAGATATATGGTAGAATAATATTCTGAGCAACAAAGGCAGCCAGTGCCAAGGTCCTGGGGCAGAAGTATGCTTGACCCATTTAAGGAATGCTAAGAACTACAGATTGTGTTCTAAACATGATGAGGTTTTGTTTGTTTGTTTTGTTTTGATTTTTGTTTTTTGCTTTTTTTTGAGACGGAGTTTCGCTCTTGTTGCCCAGGCTGGAGTACAATGGTGCAATCTTGGCTCACCGCAACCTCCGCCTCCCGGGTTCAAGCAATTCTCCTGCCTCAACCTCCCGAGTAACTGGGATTACAGGCATGCACCACCACACCTGGCTAATTTTTTTTTGTATTTTTAGTAGAGATGGGGTTTCTCCATGTTGGTCAGGCTGGTCTCGAACTCCCGACCTCAGGTGATCCGCCCACCTCAGCCTCCCAAAGTGCTGGGATTACAGGTGTGAGCCACTGCGCCTGGCCAGCATGATGAGTTTTGAGCTGGGTATGTCCAATCATTTACAGCCTGAGGGTTATCTTCTCACCATGGAGAATCATGAGAAGATTGAAATATTTCTATAGAAACCCACTGAATATTCTCTCCTTTCCTTAGATAATCTGGCAGCTGAGCTAGAAGCCAACCTCGGCCTCATTGAAGAAATTTCAGGTTATCTAAAAATCCGCCGATCCTACGCTCTGGTGTCACTTTCCTTCTTCCGGAAGTTACGTCTGATTCGAGGAGAGACATTGGAAATCGGGTACGTGGGCCTGAGTGTTAACTAGGAAGTTTGGGCATTAGAAAAACTTAAGGATTTTTTTGGCTAGTCACGGTGGCTGATGCCTATAATTCCATCACTTTGGGAGGCCGATGCAGGTGGATCACTTGAGGCCAGGAGTTCAAGACCAGCCTGGCCAACATAGTGAAACCCCATCTCTACTAAAAGTACAAAAATTAGCCAGGTGTGGTGGTGCACACCTGTAATCCTGGCTACTTGGGAGGCTGAGGCAGGAGAATTGCTTGAACCTGGGAGACAGAGGTTGCAGTGAGCCAAGATCACACCACTGCACTCCAGCCTGGGTGACAGAGCGAGACTCGGTCCACAAAAAAAAAAAAAAGAAGAAAAACTTAAGGATTTTTAAAAAAACAAATAAAAGTTATGTGGCAAAACCTCAGGAGAAAAGAACTTGGAATGTGCCTAGAGGTCCATCCAGCCAAAAATTGTAAAAACTGTTTTATAGTCATTCTTGAGAAACAAAAGTGGGAGCAGCCCAACCTTGGTGCCCATCCTCCAAGGGCACAGGCTGGAATTTTTGCTAAATAGGGCATCCGGCTGTTTGGGCTACATTGTAAGTAGAGTTTAACGTGCACAAAATGGACATTTCTTCTTAGTCCCAGTTGTCCATCCTAATTTCTGGGATGGACTCCATCTCAGTGTATTCCAATACATTCCAGCCTTCTCCTTGAGGTCCTAGAAACTCTGTTAGTAACAGCAGAAACTCAGACTAGCTGTGTTTCACGCAGATCAAGATCGACTCATAGGCAGGAGGTCTGTGGAAGACCCAGGTTCTTTCCATCTTTGTGCTCTTCATGGTCACAAGATGGCTGCCTCAGCCCCAGCCTCACATCTGTAGAACAGACAGCCAATGGGGAAAGGGACAAAAGGACATGTGAGTCAACATGAGCGGTAAGTGGTTCGAGAAGGTGGTCTAAACAATCTAGTTTAGACTATATTGTCTGCTGGAGCACACTCCAGCAGACAATGTAGTCTCTGGGCAACAGAGTGAGACTCTGTCTCACTCTTTAAATTTAAAAAACAAACAAACAAACAAAAACCTTCAGTGGCTCCTTTCTGCTTATTAAGGATGGTCACACGTTCTTGGTCTTGGTCTGGCACGCAGTATACTAGACGGTCTGATCTATTGCAACTCCAGCTATTTCCTGTCACCTATTGGCCAAAACAGGCTACTTTGCTCTTCCCTGAGCTCAACTTAGGTGCCTCTGTGTCATCAGTATTTCCCCTGTTTGCAGAAATTGGTTTCTGCAAAACCTATTCCTCAGTCCATCACAGACTCACCACCCCTCTTCAAGACTGAGCTGAGCCTCCTTCCTGGCCATGAAAACTTCCTCAGCTTCCCCTGTTATCCCCATTTGACAAATATATGTTGAGTATGTGCCAAGCAAGTGGAGAGGATTAGGGATATAGCACTGAACAAGATCAACTCCAGGCATGGCCATATCATCTTGGAGCTGTAGAAGACCAGCTGTTGAATGACTAGATGTGTGTGTTATTTCCATAGGAACTACTCCTTCTATGCCTTGGACAACCAGAACCTAAGGCAGCTCTGGGATTGGAGCAAACACAACCTCACCATCACTCAGGGGAAACTCTTCTTCCACTATAACCCCAAACTCTGCTTGTCAGAAATCCACAAGATGGAAGAAGTTTCAGGAACCAAGGGGCGCCAGGAGAGAAATGACATTGCCCTGAAGACAAATGGGGACCAGGCATCCTGTAAGTCACTGGTCCCCAACCTTTTTGGCACCTGGGACCGGTTTAGTGGAAGACGGTTTTTCCACGGATTGGTAGGGGGTGGGGATGGTTTCGGCATGATTCAAGTGCATTACATTTATTGTGCACCTTATTCCTATTATTGTTACATTGTAATATGTAATGAAAGAATTGTACAACTCACCATCAGGTAGAATCAGTGAGAGCCCTGAGCTTATGTTCCTGCAGCTAGATGGTCCCAGCTGGGGGTGATGGGAGACAGTGGCAGATCATCAGGCATTAGATTTTCATAAGGAGTGTACAGTCTGGATCCCTCATGTGCACAGTTCACAATGGGGTTCATGCTCCTATGAGAATCTAATGCTGCCGCTAATCTGATAGGAGGCAGAGCTCAGGTGGTCATGCGAGCGATGGGGAGTGACTGTAAATACAGATGAAGCTTCACTTGCTCGCCCATTACTCACCTCCCGCTGTACAGCCCTGTTCCTAACAGGCCATGGAGCAGTACTGGTCTGTGGCCCAGGGGCTGGGGACCCCTGCTGTAAGTGGTCCACAAACCAGATAATGTGGCTGTCCTCTCTCATCCATCACAGTGGCCCCCCGGGGGTGTTATTTCCTTCTAACAACCCATTGTGTGATAGGCTTTCTTACTGAGGGCAGATTCTGCACATTTATTAATATTATCACTATGCTTACTGCGTGCAATATAGTACCTGATACGGGGTGAAGTCATACAAGCACTGAATGAATGATGGATGAATGAATGACATCTTCTTATATGTGTATCAGGCTGATGCTGAAGAGTTCAGAGTTGAGTAAAATACCTATGTCAGTCTGCATCTCCTGTGAAGTGACTGCCAAGTTGAAGTTTAGGAGTGCAGAAAATGTATAGAGGGTAATACCCATGAAATGTGAAAGAGAGGAAGAGCTTTTTTTTTTTTTTTTTTTTTTTTTGAGACAGAGTCTTGCTCTGTCACCCAGGCTGGAGTGCAGTGGTGCGATCTTGGCTCACTGCAACCTCCTCCTCCTGGATTCAAGTAATTCTCTCACCTCAGCCTCTAGAGTAGCTGGGACTACAGGCACATGCCACCATGCCCGGCTAATTTTTTTTGTATTTTTAGTAGAGACAGGGTTTTGCCGTGTTGGCCAGGGTGGTCTTGAATCCTGACCTCATGTGATCCTCCCGCCTCGGCCTCCCAAAGTGCTGGGATTACAGGTGTGAGCCACCACGCCCAGCCATGAAGAGCCTTTTGACAATAGCGTGGGTCTGACCTCTGTGAACAGAGAGCAGGAAGGAAGGAGGATAGGGCTGGGAGAGCCTCAGACAGTGGTGCATCCCTGAGTCTTGTCCAAACCCAGAAAGAGCTCAAGGCCATGGTTGTCTGCAGGGAAGTTCTGCATTGCAATGGGACGGCCAGGCATCCACCAAGCTCAGTCACAGGTGGGGGATGTCCAGGGAGAGTCAGGTCTTGGCTAGAATGCTGTAGCGGGTCCTGTGGTTTCCGCAGCCGCAGGCTGCCTGCTGACTGCACTTCCCCGACAGATTCTGAGCAGTGAGCTGCCAGGGGCTTCTGTGACACCTCCATGGGGAGTTAGCTACTTATGTCAAAATGTAGTGCAAGGGCCGGGCATGGTGGCTCACGCCTGTAATCCTAACCCTTTGGGAGGCCGAGGCGGGCAGATCACTTGAGGTCAGGAGTTCGAGAGCAGCCTGGCCAATGTGGTGAAACCCCATCTCTACTAAAAAAATATACAAAAACCAGCTGGCTGCAGTGGTGGGTGCCTGTAATCCCAGCTACTTGAGAGGTTGAGGCATGAGAATTGCTTAAACCCGGTAGGCGGAGGTTACAGTGAGCAGATATCGTGCCACTGCACTCCAGCCTTGGCAACAGAGCAAGACTCTGTCTCAAAAAAAAAAAAAAAAAAAAAATAGTACAAGAAGAGAGAACGAGGTTGGGGTGAGGTTTAGGAGAGGGTAGAGAATTACTTAGATGCGTCTCTCCAATGTCTAATGGTCTGCAGGCTCTCTAAACTCACTTGGCATGGGTTTATTTGCACTGGAGTTGCACCTCCTTCCAGGTCAGTCTTAGAAGTCCACGTGTGAGACAACCTTGTGTCAGGACAAACATCATCCTTGGAAACCCCTTCCTACAATAACTGTTGGCTGGTTGTCCTTCTCGCGCAGGCACAGATCGCCCTTATTCAGTTGAGTGTCTGGCTGAGTCAAGTCATTGGCTTACGTGAGCGTGAGCGGCCAAGTTGTAAAACCGTTTCTTGCCTTTGAATCTCCCCCCATTCATACTCAGCCAGGTACATGGGGAGGAGACCCTTAGGGGAATAGCAGCCGGACCTCTCCCTTCTCACAGTCCCTCCAGGAAGTGTGGGGGTCCCAGGCTTTGGTCTGAAACTACACTGAAATAGCTTGGTTTTGCCTTTTGTTTTAACTTTTCCAGGTGAAAATGAGTTACTTAAATTTTCTTACATTCGGACATCTTTCGATAAGATCTTGCTGAGATGGGAGCCGTACTGGCCCCCCGACTTCCGAGACCTCCTGGGGTTCATGCTGTTCTACAAAGAGGCGTAAGTGGAAGAGTTAGACCTTGCAGAGGCGAGGGCCGGCTGGCTCTGTGCTTGCCTCGTTTGTGCCCCAATCTGCCCCTCTCGGGTTCTTCTCTATCTCCCTCCTCCTCCTGGAATAAATACCTTAGGTTCCTTTTTACAATCTCACCGGTCAATGGTATGCAAAGTCAATAATGTCTGCTTTTATCAAATGCTGAAAATGGAAGCGAGCAGCTTTCCCGTAGCAGCCCAGACTGGCCAGTTTCCTGGGACAATATTCCATTTTGCCTTGCCTGTGTATGTCTCATCAGATATCCTTTGTAGTCAGGAGCTCAGTCTACTGAGCGCATGTTATCAAATGTATTGCTTATCTATTTTTCATTTTTTTCCCCAACTTTTTTTTTGAGATGGAGTCTTGCTCTGTCGCCCAGGCTGCAGTGCAGTGGCGCGATCTTGGCTTACTGCAACCTCTGCCTCCTGGGTTCAAGCAATTCTCCTGCCTCAGTCTCTTGAGTAGCTGGGATTACAGGCATGTACCACCACACCCAGCTAATTTGTGTATTTTTGGTAGAGATGTGTTTTACCATGTTGGTCAGGCTGGTCTCAAACTCCTGACCTCAGGTGATCCGCCCACCTTGGCCTCCCAAAGTGCTGGGATTACAGGCATGAGCCACCGCACCTGGCCAGTAGTAATATTGATAATAGTTCTAGCCCCCAAGATTGACCTTGTGCCTTGCTGAGAACTTACACACAGTCTAATCTTATCAATAACTTGCGAAGAAATTCCTGCTATTACTATTATTACAGATTGAGTATCCCTAATCTGAAAATCTGAAATCTGTAATGCTCCAAAATCCAAAGCTTTTTGAGGGCCGACCTGATACTCAACGGAAAAGCTCATTGGAGCATTTCAGATTTCAGATTTTGAGATTCGGGATGCTGAACCGGTACAATGCAAATTAACTAGTAAAATGCGAATATTTCAAAACCCAAAAATATCCAAAATCCAAAACACTTCTGGTCCCAGTCATTTATTTATTTATTTATTTTTAGACAGAGTCTCGCCCTGTCACCCAGGCTGAAGTGCAGTGGTGCGATCTCGGTTCATTGCAACCTCTGCTCCCGAGTTCAAGCGATTCTCTTGCCTCAGCTTCCAGAGCAGCTGGGATTACAGGCATGCAGCACCACGCCTTGCTAATTTTTGTAGTTTTAGTAGAGATGAGGTTTCGCCATGTTGGCCAGGCTGGTCTTGAACTCCTGGCCTCAAATGATCCACCCACCTCAGCCTCCCAAAGTGCTGGGATTACAGGCGTGAGCCACCATGCCTGACCAAATCCCAAGTATTTTGAATAAGGGATGCCCAAGCTGTGTTTTTTTCATTGAGATGTCAGGGTTGGCGGTTTCTTTCTCTTCGGCTGTTCCCGAGTTATTTTTTCTTGCGGCATAAGATTGTTGGGTGAGTAAGATGTGACCCTACAGGATGTAACTTCCCAGGCCTCACCTGCACAGTGCTCAATGTGACGGTCTTTTATTTTTTTTTTTCTTTTTTTTTGGGATGAAGTCTCGCTCTGTTGCCCAGGCTGGGTGCAGTGGCCGGATCTCAGCTCACTGCAAGCTCTGCCTCCCAGGTTTACGCCATTCTCCTGCCTCAGCCTCCTGAGTAGCTGGGACTACAGGCGCCCGCCACCTTGCCCGGCTAGTTTTTTGTATTTTTTTAGTAGAGACGGGCTTCACCGTGTTAGTCCAGGATGGTCTTGATCTCTGACCCTCGTGATCCGCCCATCTCGCTCCCAAGTGGAGTGCTGGGATTACAGGCTTGAGGCCACTGCGCGCCGGCCTCGTAATGCTATGGTCTTATAAAGGTAACCTCCTGTCGTTGTCTTGAAAGCCCTTACCAGAATGTGACGAGTTTGACGGGCCAGGGATGCGTGTGGTCCAACGCGTCTGGACGCGTGTAGACATATGGACCCCGCCCCTGAGGTCCAAGACGCCACAAATCCAGACAGAACCCCAGGATGGCTGTAACTGCGGGGCTCAAGCCCTGGAACCCAGTATGCCATCCTTGGTGAAGACCCCTGGTCACTTTTTCGGATGAGCGCGGCTGGACCTACGGAGCCAAGAGAGCGACATCATTTATGTCCAGACAGACTGCCACCAGTGAGTGTGTATTGGAATGTGAATTTGTCTATGAATCAGACCTCTGGTCTTTAACAGCTGGATGCA